TTCCTGCTTTCCAGTGATCTCCAACTATTCCCTTTTTCACAGACTGCCTTTTTCACCTTGTGTTTTATCGCTGTTCTCTCCCTCTGACTTTGTTCCTCCTGCTCTCTTCCCCCTCCCTTCCCTGCATTTCCTTTTGTCTTGCTTATCTCTACCTATTTACATTTTCACTGACATCTCTCCACACTTTTAGCTTCTCTCATTCCTTGGAGTCTCAGACCAGCAGAGACTCCCTATGCCTGGCAAAGGGTAACTGTGCCTGAAAGCTTAAGAACTTTTTGCCAGCTACTCAGTTGGTCTAATAAAAGATATCACATCTACCCAAAGAACCTTGCCTGCCTATGTCCTTAGACCAACATGGCTACAACCAAAAACCTAGACAAGATCAAGGCAGACAAGGTTCCTTGGGTGAATCACCCCTACACAAGATCAATGCATTCAAATCAGCAGGCCCTGAGGAACTTCACCTAGGAGAATTTAAGAAATCTAGCTAAAGTAAGCTCTGAATCATCAGTGATTATCTGAGAATTGGGAAAATTGGAGGACTAGAGAAGGGTAAACATAGAACCTAGCTTTAAAAACAAGGGGAAAAAAGAATTATAGATCAGTCTAACTTCAATACTCAGAAAACATCTGCTATAAGAGGTACTGTTTAATTTGCAACCACCCAGATGATAATAAGGATCTATTAAAAAGACAACAAGGATTTGTCAAGAATAAAGTGTCCAATTAACTTTGTTTCCTTTGAGAGGGTAACTGGCTAGAAAGAGGAAAACATTAGATGCAATGTATTGACTTCAACAAGGTTTTGACACGGTCTGATTACATCAGCATATGGAAACTTGAGAACCATAATCTAGAGCAGTGATTTTCAAACTCTGTATGTCACATGCCCCTTTTAATTTTTTATGTTGTAGTGTACCCCTACAATTCTGTGTTATGGGGAATAAAAAGCCACATTTTATAGCACTACAACCATACTATAACTTCTCCCACAGCCTCAGGAATACTGTGGAGTTATTGGCCATTTTCACTTCCTTTTCCTACAGTTCTATTTGCCCTTTATATTCCAGTTTCTCATTCCTTCTTATCACATGCCCATTAGACCCTGGCTGTATGTCCCCAGTGGTACATGTGTCCCAAGTTGAGAAACACTGTTCTAAATGAAACCACCATAATGGGAGCAAACAACTGGTTGAAAAGATGCATCCAAATGAGTAGTTATCCATGGCTCACTGTCAAACTAGGAAGGCACTTGAAGTGCAGGAGGGCTCCCTCACATGGACTGGGACTGAGGCTGGGCCCAGGACTACTCAATACTCTCACTGAAGACCTGGGTGACGGAGTTAACAGCTCCAGAAGTCTGTGGCTGCCCAGCAGGGATGGGTGGCAAGCCCTGAAGACGGGACTGGAATTCAAACCACTGTCAACAGAGACACGAACAAGACTGTGTTGAACAAAGACAAGAGCAAAATGTTCCTCTCAGAAAGGAGATGACAAATACGAAATGGAAGATAATGCATTAGACAGCACTACAGCAGAGATGGGCCTGGGTCACAAACTGAACAGGAGTCAACTTCGAGATGCTGAGGGAGGGGGTGTGGAGGAGCCAGAAATCTCAGTCTGGGATGCATTAAATAGGGGACTGAAGGCGCCACTCTCCTTGGCAGCAGGCCTTGGCTGGGATACTGGCTCTGCACTTTACGAAAGTTGAGAACAACCTGGAGGCCAAGCAGAGGGGACAAACCGATAAGATGTTTAGAAACAGTGACCTCTGAGGAAAGGTCAAAGGAGCTGGGTTTGCTTAGTGAACTGGGCTGAGGGGAGACCCGATCTCTCTTCCAGCCCTACCACCAAAGCTCTTTGCAAGGCCTCTCACGGCGGGGCCGGAAACCTCTCGCTAGCCCCACATCTGGGAGAGACGCAGCGAGCTGCGCCCGCGCCCGGGCAGGGCCG